CTGTGCCACTCACCCACATAACTTGAGTGAGCCTCATTCCAGCTCTGAGCCTTGGGTTTTTATCTGCAAAATGCGGTGTCTGTGCCTTGCTTATCTCAAAGCATTGTTGTAAAAAAAAAAAGGAAGTGAGATTATTGGTAGTGACAGTTTTTGGTAAACAGTAAAGCACTTGACACATTGAAATGGACTTTATGAACTGTAAAAGGTAATGTAGGCTGGGTGCCGTGGCTCACGCCTGTAATCCCAGCACTTTGGGAAGCCAAGGTGGGAGATGGCTTGAGGCCAGAAGTTCAAGACCAGCCTGGGAAACATAGCAAGATCCCGTTTCCACAAAAAAAAAGAAAAAAAAAAAAAATTGTTTTTTAATTTAGCCAGGCATGGTGGCATGCGCCTGTAGTCCTGGCTACTTGGGCAGCTAAAGCAGGAGGATGGCTTGAGACCAGAAGTTCAAGGCTGCAGTGAGTCATGATCATGCCACTGCTCTTCAGCCTGGGTGACAGAGCAAGACTGTGTCTCTTAAAAAACAAAAGGGGGGGTGGGGAGGGCATGGGCCAGGCATGGTAGCTCACACCTGTAGTCCCAGCACTTTGGGAGGCCAAGGCAGGCAGATTGCTTGAGCATAGGAGTTCAAGACCAGCCTGGGCATCATGTCAAACCCTACCTCTACCAAAAAAAAAAAAAAAAAACACACACAAAACTTAGCCAGGCAAGATGGTATGCACCTATGGTACCAGCTACTTGAGAGACTGAGGTGGGAGGATTGCTTGAGCCCAGGAGATCGAGGCTGCAGTGAGCTGTGATCATGCTACTGCACTCCAGCCTTCATGACAGAGCAAGACCTTGTCTCAAAAGAAAAAAAAAAGCGGGGCGGGGTGGGTGGCGCAGGGTATGCACAAATTTGATTTTGACATGCTTTCCCGTTAGCCAGTTGGGCTCAACGCCAAACCCAGGCCCTGATGATCCCCCTCCTGCAGAACCAAGGGAGTGGGGAGGGGCGGCTGAGTGGTGATCCTCCCCTGCATATTCTGTCTCTCTCTCTCACACACAAACACACAAACAAATACACACACAGAACCTGGCTGTGATTCCCCTCGGCTGAAGACACACAGAGGCCTATCAGCCTCTCAGCTGGCTTTGTGGGCCATCTGCTTCTGGGAGGGGAGCTGTCTGGCTGGAGCAGGCCACATGCAGCCTGGCTATGCTCCCGGCCCATCATTCCAGATACATGCAGACATAGCCAGACACCCCACATAACCACAGACACACATGCACACACAAAGACACACCAGAGGCTTCTCCCCGCTCTCATCATGCTGTCAAAGAACCCAAGAGGGGCTGGTCAGAGAGGGGGCTGCAGCAGGGTCCCAGCATTTGCCCTTCGGGAGCTGGCTCCACTCCTGCCCCAGACACACACCTCTAGGCCCGTCAAGGGGTGCTACCAGGCTCCTGCTCCACTGTTGCCCTCGGAGGCCCAAGCCTCTACCCACCTAGGGGATCAGAACAGGAAAGTGGGGGATGCCACCAAGAAAGAGAATGCCGTCCTCTTCAACAAGGCCTCCTTCACAGGCCTGGGGTGGGAAGGGGATCCCTGTAAAAGGACAACAAGATCCCAACCTCTCCTCATACCCGCTTCCCACCACCAATCAGAGAAAACTCAGTCCTGTAGGCGCATTTTGTCACTGATAACATAAACTGTGAATTCCTTACTCCTTCAATGACCAGATGGGGAAACTGAGGCCCAGAGATGAGAAGGGATTTTCCCAAGGTGAACACAGTGTCGGGGGCAGAGCTGGGACCAGATACTGGACCTCTGGTTCACCGTCCATTCCCTCCCAACTGCAAAAACCGCTTCGTCATTCATCTGTCCTGTGCATATTCTAAGCATATGCTATGTTGCAAACCCTGTGCTAAGGATAAAGGATACAACAGTGAACAAAACAGGTTCCTCATCCGTCAGGCGTTTACAGCAGGCATCACAGAGTCAGCATTAGAGGGAATGCATCGGTCCCCTTTGTGCAGCATTTTCCAATTGACAAAGCACTTCCCCACTCCAGCTCTTACTTCATCCTCCCCTCAAACTCACAGGTCAGTATTTTGTTTTGTTTTGTTTTGTTTTTTGAGACGGAGTCTCGCTCTGTCACCCAGCCTGGAGTGCAGTGGCACCATCTCAGCTCACTGCAACCTCCGCCTCCCAGGTTCAAGCAATTCTCCTGCCTCAGCCTCCTGAGTAGCTGGGATTATAGGCACCTGCCACCACGCCCAGCTAATTTTTGTATTTTTAGTAGAGATGAGGTTTCACCATGTTGGCCTGGATGGTCTCCATCTCTTGACCTCGTAATCTGCCAGCCTCAGCCTCCTAAAGTGCTGGGATTACAGGCGTGAGCCACCACGCCCGGCCCACAGAGGTCAGTATTTTAACCTGCAATCTGCGAAGGAGGAAAGTGCCACTTCTGAACGACTCAATGCCCCGGCTTGTCAGCAGGAGCTGAGATCGAAACCCCGGATGCCCACTTCTGGCCCAGGACCCAGTCATCTAAGGGGCTGACCTCTTTCTCTGGCTGGTTTGTCAGGACCTAAAGATAGTGGTGTCTCTTTTGCTTCCCTAGCATTCCCCAACACACCTCCCACCCCTACCGCCTCCCCTAACACACACACACCCCGCCCCAAACACCTGAACACAGCTGGGTATTCAGTCAGAGCTAAAGGAGAGCAGCCAGAGGTGTGGGGAGAGAGCCTGCTGGTTCTGTCATATTTCACAAGTAAGCGAGTACACAGCCCCACGTCGGGACCTCCTGCCAGCGGAGGACGGCGGGTGCCAGCCTGGGCCCTGTCCCTAGCACCTGGGACCTGATAGGGGCCATTGGTTGTGGGCTTGGCCCTGTGTATAAGAACCTGGTTATTTTCAGCACCCCCTTCCCCACCCCGCAAACCTAGCATTTAGTGAGTTCCTAAGTACCCCGCCCTGTAGTAGATCCTTTGTATGTCCCGACAGTTCTGTGGGGGAGATGGCATTATCCTTATCTGACAATTTAGAAAACTGCACAGAGATGGAGTGTAACTTGGCCAAGACCACACAGCTAGTCAAGTAGATGTCATTTCGCTCCCTGAGATCCAAGCTGCCCCTATCACCACCATCGCCACCTCCCAGTGGGGTCTCTGGGTCAGCACTGTCCCAGCCTCGGAAAAGCCAAACTTGGGTGTTGGGTTCTCCAGGAATGTTTGGACACTAGAAGTTATTTCTAAACATGAGACTCTGGGCCTGAGAAAGGTGCCAGAACAATCCCTTAAAAACAGAAGCAGCCGAGCACAGTGACTCACGCCTACAATCCCAGCACTTTGGGAGGCCAAGGCAGGCTGATTGCTTGAGCCCAGGAGTTGGATGGAGACTAGTCTGGACAACAAGGTAAGACCTTGTCTCCACAAAAAAATACAAAAATTAGCCAGGCACGGTAGAGCACGCCTGTAGTCCCAGATACTCGGGAGGCTGAAGTGGGAGGATCACCTGAGCCTGGCAGGTCCAGGCTGCAGCGAGCCGTGATCACGCCACTGCACTTTTGCCTGGGCAACAGAGTGAGAGACCCTGTGAAAAGAAAATAAAAGAAAAGAAAAGAAAAATAGAAGCGCCCATCTGCTTAGGCGCAGCCTGGGGGCATGACCTTGGTTTGCCTCCTAAGGATATTTTTCTATGCCTCCCCCTTGCCCAGCAGGGGCCAGGAGTCCCCCTTACCTGTAGCAGGGGCAGCGGCTTCAGCTGCGGGAACTGTGTGTCTCTGTCTGGATCCTGGCCCCAGCTTCAGCCTCTGTGCTGTCTGGCAATTGCAGAAGTGAGGAAACAGCGTATCACTACCAAGTCACCCCTGGGAGGAAATGCTATGGCCCTAGGGCCTCTCAAGGGGTGCCACAGGAACTTCCAAGCTGGGCCGCCAGGACCTGGGCACTGCACAGAGGCTTCTCGTAAAGAGCGAGGGACGCCGACTGTAGGCAGCGCCCAAGGCCAGGGAGCTGAGGTGAGAAAGAGGAAAAGCAAGAGAGAGAAAGCAAGTGCATGCACTCAAGAGAGCGAGAAAGGGAGCATGAGAGTGAGGAAGAGGAGAGAGGAGAGATGAGGGACCAGGAAAATCAAAGGAGAAAGGGAGGAGCGGGGAGGGAGTCAGGGAAAAAAATGAGAGGGCGGAGGAATGGATGGAGGGAGCGAGGCTCAGGGAAAAAGACAGATGTAAACGCCAGGAGAGATGAGAGGAACAAGGAGACTCAGGCACAAAGACAAGGGAAGATCGAAGACAAAAGATGAGATGAGGAGACACAGGCGGCGAGCATGTGCCAGTGCGCATTTGGGTCTGCGTGTCTCTGGATGGGAGTGAGAGAGAAAATAAAAGAAAGGGAGTGGAGGAAAGAGAATGCCCGCTGGGATATGAAGTGGAGGGAGAAGAGAGGCGCTCAGAAGAGTCACTGTGGTCAGCGGCATGACTGGGCAGGGCATCCCTGGAGACCAAGAAGCACTGAGCCCAGAAACCCCATGGGAACAGAGCTGTGGGGGTGGACGTGGAAGCTCCCTGAGACCTTGAGCCTGGGTTGGGCAGCGTGTGAGTTCGTGGGAGCGTGTGGGTGAAGAGGGGTGGGCAATCGAGGGTGAACACACATGAATGTGTGAGTGTGGGTGTGGGGCTATGTGTGAAAGTGAGCCGGTGGGGGCATCCCATGTGCATAAGTGAGAGGTGAGCTAGAGTCTCTGCCTCGGTTTCCAGTCCATTTACCCACTCATTCCTTCAACCAACCAACAAGCACCATCTGAGCACCCCCAGGCACCAGGCACTGGGATGGACCCTGTCTAAAGAAGCAAGTCCCTCAGATACCTCAGCCGACCCAACAACCTCCTACACAGAGAGGGAAACTGGGATCCCGACAGGACCAGGGTCCCACAGCAAGGCAGGTGTAAGCAGAGTTGGGGGCCTGCATCAGCATCCATCCTCAGCTCCACTCTGGGTATCTGGGCCAGGCTCCTCCTCCTAATGTCCCTTATCAAAGCCAAAAATGGCTCTCAAAAGACAAAACACTTTTTTTTTTTTTTTTTGAGACAGAGTCTCACTCTGTCCCCCAAACTGGAGTGCAGTGACTCAATCTCAGCTCACTGCAACCTCTGCCTCCCAGTTTCAAGCAATTCTTCTGCCTCAGCCTCTGAAGTAGCTAGGATTACAGGCATGTACTGCCATGCCCGGCTAATTTTTGTCTTTTTAGTAGAGATGGGGTTTCACCATGTTAGCCATGCTGGTTTTGAACTCCTGACTTCAAGTGATCCACCCGCCTCGGCCTCCCAAGGTGCTGGGATTACAGGCGTGAGCCACTGCGCCTGGCCAGGACAAACCACTTGTAACATTTGCCTCAGTCATATAGAACTAGAGCCAAGCATCTGCCCCCTCCTCCATCTCCAGCCCCACATCACACACAGGCAGACACACTCAGACCACATAACACTTGCACACTCATATACACTCAGTGCCTACTCTCATGCAGAGATGCCCACTCTCACTGTGTTCCTCCAGATACCTGCACACTCACGCCCAGTCTCCCCTCACTCACACCTGCCAGGCTCACCTCCTTCCTCAAGTTCATGCGTCCATACTGCTCCATGCTCCCCCACCACACACACTCTCCCAATCCCCAAAATGCAGCCCAGGCCTCCTGCCAGGCACATGGAAACAGGCTCAGGCCAAGCACTTTGGGAGACCAAGGCAGGAGGATTGCCTGAGCCAAGGGGTTCGAGACCAGCCTGGGCAATATAATGAGACCCCATCTTTATATTTTTTAAAAAAAAAAGAAAGAAAAGAAACAGACTCAGTTTGATCATTTCTTCTTATCTCCCTTAGAGGCCTTTTGAGCCTCGAGTGCCCTGAAATATGAGGCCATGGTCTGTGCATGAACTTAGCCTTCATGCAAACTGCTCACCTGAAAGGCAAGGCCTCAACTCTGCTCCCCAGCCCAGATCCTTGGTTCCAAAACAGTTTCACCTCAGCCCTCCTCCAGCCACCACCCTCCAGGAGGGACAGCAAGCCTGGGAGGGACCTCCAGGATCAACCAGCCTCCATTGCCCAGAATCTCCAGGACACCTGGCTCAAGGTCCGGGACTGTTGGCTCGGCCTGCCTTCCAGTATAGTCCCTTCCACGCGCACACGTGGCAGCTGCAGATCAGCACCTCTTTTGAGATTATCAATAAGCAGGGTAGGTAGGCAGGTATTACTATCAATATTTTACAAATGAGGAAACTGAGTCCTAAGCTTTCTCTCACACCCCACATCCATTCTGTTAGCAAACTATGATGGCTCCACTTGAAAATATGTCCAAATTTGGTTGGGCACAGTGACTCATGCCTGTAATTCCTGCACTTTGGGAGTCCGAGGCGGATGGATCAGTTGAGGTCAGGAATTCGAGACCAGCCTGGCCAACATGGTGAAACTCCGTCTCTACTAAAAAAATAAAAAAATAAAAAAAAAAAAACACCAGCCGCCAGGTATGGTGGCACACACCTGCTGATTACCGCTGGTAATCCCAGCAACTTGGGAGGTTGCGGCATGAGAATTGCTTGAACCCAGGAGGCGGAGGTTGCAGTGAGCTGAGATGGTGCCATTGTACTCCAGCCTGGGTGGGAAAAAAAAAAAAAACAAGCAAATATGTCCAAATTTGAATCTAATCAAGCCTTTAGGTCTAACCTCAGTTTTCAGAAAATACAGGGGACAGAGGAATAAATTAAAGGACCTCACAAGGAAGAAATCAGCCAATTCCAGAATATAGAACATTCTACTGGACAACGAAGCCAGTTCTCTCCCGAAATCAACCATATGAACACAGAAACAAACACAGGACCAGGCTCAGTGGCTCATGCCTGTAATCCCAACACTTTGGGAAGCTGAGGCGGACGGATCCCTTGAGCCCAGGAGTTTGAGACCAACCTGGGCAAAACAGGGAGACCCTGTCTCTATAACACAAAACAAAACAAAAAAAAGTTAAAAATAAAATGAAATAAAAGCACACAAGAAACAGGGAGGAGATTCTTCCAGATTAAAAGAGATTTCAGAGGCCAAACATGGTGGCTCATGCCTGTAATCCCAGCACTTTGGGAGGCCGAGGCAGGCAGATCACTTGAGGTCAGGAGTTTGAGACCAGCCTGGCCAAATGGTGAAACCCTGTTTCTACTACAAATATAAAAATCAGCCGGGCGTGGTGGCACACGCCTGTAATCCCAGCTTCCTGGGAGGCTGAGGCAGGAGAATTGCTTGAACGTGGGAGGCAGACGTTGCAGTGAGCTGAGATCAAGCCACTGCTCTCCAGCCTGGGCGACAGAGCGAGATTCTGTCTCAAAAAAAAAAAAGAAGTTGCAGCTGATCCTGCAACTGGCAGGGAGGGAACCAGGAAATAAATACTCAAACCTTTCTCTTCTCCCATCCTCTGATGTCTTATCGTCTTATCGGCACCACCAGTTGGCTGAGCCCAACCAGAAACAAAGGAACCATTAATGTGGTCCATACAGGGCAGCCTCTGGGGCACAGAGGTGGGTGAAGAAGGGTGGAGTGTACTCTGGCCATGCACCACCATTCCCAGAGTGGGTCTGGAGGAGAAAACAGAAAATATCCAGGACAGACATATCTGAGAAAATCACAGAAACTGGTATATAGATAATTCTAAGGGATTCTTGATAATAGTATTAGGAGATAATGGTGTTACAGTTATATAACAAAATGTCCATATATGTGGAATTTGCTTTAAAATATTACAGCAAAATAAGAAGAAAGGAAGGAGAAAGAGAGAAAGTAAGAAAAACAAAGAGAAGAAATAAAGAAGGATGGATACAGAGTATGAAGAAAAAAGAAAGGAAGAAGAATGAAGGGAGAGAGGGGAGAAATAGAGAATGTGGCAAAATATTTATTTGATTGATTGATTGATTTTTATTTATTTATTTATTTTGAGATGGAGTCTCGCTCTGTCTCCCAGGTTGGAGTGCAGTGGTGCGATCTCAGTCTCACGATGTTGTCCAGGCTGATCTCAAACTCCTGACCTCAAGCAATCCGCCCGCCTCAGCCTTCCAAAGTGCTGGGATTACAGGCATGAGCCACCGCGCCCGGTCGCGTGTTATTTTAAACCACTAAGTTTGTGGTAACTTCTTATAGCAGCCATAGGAAACTACCACAAGGATTTCTTGTACTCTTCCTTCTCTTTTTGTGTATGTTTGAAAACTTTTCTGATGAAGTTGTGTTTGAGTGTGCACAATTCACAACACCACCTATAAAACAGTCTTGCCAAGGAAACCAAAATAGAATCAGCAAGTTTAACCACCGGTTTACTCCTGTTACAGAAGGAAACAAAATCACAGGGATGCACTCAACTAACGCACATGATTAGAAACATACAGAACACACGACCTGCTTTCTTCAATAAATAAATTCTAAACAAGAAAAAAAATATATAGGGAGAAACTATTGATTAAGAGAGAATTAAGAGGTCGAGCGTAGGAGCTCACGCCTGTAATCCCAGCACCTTGAGAGGCCGAGGTGAGAGGATCACTTGACACGGGAGTTTGAGACCAGCCTGGGCAACACAGTGAGAACTCACCTCAAAGTAAATTAATTACTTAAATAAAGAGAAGTAAGAGACATAGCAACCAGTTGCTACATGAATCTTCTTGGATCCTGATTCAAACAAGAGGGGAAAAAAAGAAAGAAATTGGGCCGGGCGTGGTGGCTCATGCCTGTAATCCCAGCACTTTGGGAGGCCGAGGCAGGCAGATCACTGGAGGTCAGGAGTTTGAGACCAGCCTGGCCAACATGGTGAAACCCCGTCTCTACTAAACATACTAAAATTAGCTTAGTGTAGTGGCACATGCTTGTAATTCCAGCTACTCAGGAGGGTGAGGCAAGAGAATCGCTTGAACCCAGGAGGCAGAGATTTCAGTGAGCCAAGATTGCACCACTGCACTCAGTTTGGGTGATAGAGTGAGACCCAGTCAAAAAAAATAAAGAAAGAGAGAAGGAAGGAAGGAAGGAAGGAAGGAAGGCAGGAAGGCAGGAAGGCAGGAAGG